AAAATAAATATAATATATATAGAAAACAAAACAGATTTAAAGTGAGCTAAGAAAAATAAAAAAATATTGTTCAGAGCAAGGGCTGAGCTGATTTTTAGTTTGTAGCAACAAAAAAGGAAAAACAAAAATATATATGTATGTATATCTATATATAGTTCGATCCTTGCTACACACACATAAAACATAAAACATCGCTTTGCGCGCTAGTGTTAGCATAATTTATAATATCTATGTAAATTAGTTTAAAAAACTCACACACACGCATACACATGCAGCTACAAAGAGCGTTAGAGCGAGTGAGAGATAATACAACATTCACATGAATTTACACTTACACATGCACTATTTGCTACAGTCATTCACACACACACACACACACACACACATTAGCCCACACACACACACATTAGCCCACACATATAATTATTTTTAATGCTTTGGTTTTTAATTTGACAGTTATCAACTTTTAAAATTTTGCAATATCTATATTTTTAAAAATTTCTAAATATATTTAACCATTTTTTTTTTCTCATTTTTTAATCTTGCAATTTTTCCTTAAATTTTAAATATTTAATTTTTTTCTTTCTAATTTGGAAATTTTTAAATTATTAATTTCTTCTTTGTTATTCGACCTTCGCGCGCTTCAACTAAAAAATAAAGCAAATACAAAAAATTGTCCTTATATTTAAGCAACAATAAAAAAATAATAGAAAAAATGCTTGAAATATATATAAATATTGCCAATAGATTTTGCTATATAAAATTTAAGTTCGCGAATTTTTCAAAAATTAGTTTGATTTATTTATTTTATTTTTTTGGGCACTTCGTAAAACAAAAAACGGCTTTTTTTCTTAAATTATGTACTTATAAAAAGGAATAATTCGAATTAGTTAAAACAAGAAACAAATCAACTAAAATTAATATTAAAATTTAAAATTGTGTGCCCTTCGAAAGATAATACTATACAAAAATTAAATTTAAAACTAAACTGCAATCTTTCAATTCAATTAACTTCATAGTTCAAAACCCGCAAAGATAAGTAAGAAAAAAAATATATAGAAATTAAATACAAAAATTTCGTTGAATTTCAAAACACTCAAAAAATGGCAAAAAAAAAACTTGTAGCAAATAAAAGTGACATTTGAGAGCAAGTTGTGCAGATTTTGAAAAATGGAATATATAATATATACAAAATTTTATTTTCAAAAGAACAAATATACATATAGATATAGATTAAAAGTATTTTTTGTCGAATTGGGATTGTTTTATCCTTAGTTAGCTTTCACTGTAAGCAATCATATAGAAGATAGAAATGATCTGGCAACGCTTGTCTAGTCGCTGCACGTTCAAATTGTCTTTTGCAAACCGGAAGAGTATTTCAAATATTCGATTCTACGAATTGCCAATGAGACAGCTTACAGGTGTGTGTGTTTGTTCAAGTCTCTCTCTCCCCTCTCTTTCTGTGTCATTCTTGCTTATTCGTTTGATCGCTCTCGAAACTCTCCCTAATTTGTGCGCTCTTTATTGGCACGCCAACGCTTACGCCAACGCCGGGCCAACATTCCAAGCGGCTAACCTTCAGCCCAGCTTCGAAATTGTCGCAGCCACAGCAGCAGCAGCAAAAGCAACAACAACAGCAACGAGAGTTGCAGAATGCTTTCGCTCTCTTGCTCTATAAGAAAAAACCTGATGAGGCGCAGCAACAGCAACAGAAACAAAAACAACAACATTCAATGGCCAGTGTTGGACATTACATGACAACAGCGTAAGCTCGCTCGTTCGCTCACTCTCTCTCTCTCTCTCACACTCGCCGTCTGTCTCTTCCAATGAAATGAATGGCGGGCTGAGCAGATGGACCGCAAAAGGCGAGCTAGTTGTGAATGTGATTCGCGGGCGGGGCGCGGGCGCAGGCGCAAGCGTGCGCGCGAGCTCGATCGCCAATACCAATTTGGATGCCAACAACAACAGCAGCTAACAGCTAACAGCTCGCAGCTAGCAGCCAGCGAGCAGCAGGTAGATCAGTTGTGAATCTGGCACGGACGGACGACAACAAACCATTTAGCTTGGCTCGGAGCAACGCTCAACTCGCAAAAAAATAACACAAAAAACGAAAAGCAAAAACAAAACAACAACAAAAAAAAAACGTTTTGCGCGCCTCCTCCAAAACGTACGTGTGTATTAGTGTATCGATATTTATACAACATGTGTGTGTGTATGTGTGTGTGTCGCCGTGTCGCGTTGCCCAGTTGCAATGTTTGTTTTTGTTTTGTGGCTGCGCGCGGCAAAAAAACAACAAAACACGCCCTGCTAATATAGCCTTACACACACGTGTGTGTGTGTGTGTGTACATATATGTGTGTGTTCGTGCGTGTTAGTGCATTGTATATATCGCATAGCCGATCGATAGATTGCAAATTAATCGAACATTTTTGTGTGTTTTCGCCACCTCCTCCCTAGCGATTATAAAGGGCATGAGCGGCAGGAGGTCGCGTGCCATGCCCCATTGGATAATTTGCTGCATCTGCAGCGCAACGGCGCGTGGAATGCGACAGTTATTTGCGCGCTCAACCGTTTTATTTGCGATTTAAGCAACATCTGTTTTGGCCAGTCAAACAAAAGAAAAAAAAAAAAAGAAGCAATAATAAGAAATAGAGTTTCAGCTGCTTGTTATATACTGCATATTTATATATGTATAAACATAGTTAGGCATTTATGTAAATTCATATCTTTGGTTAGCGCAGCTTGACCTTGTCTGGTTGCGTAGGGAGTGCAGCCGGGAATGCAGCTGGAAGTGCGTATACACATACATAAACATGTATACATGTATGTATGCATAATACACATACATACATATGTATGTCTATGAAATGCGCTGACATTTTGTTCGCAATGTGTATGTTTGTATGTATGTACGTATGTATGCACACATGTCAGTCAGACAACTGTCCGTCAATTTCCATATGCATATGCTAATGTAAATACGTATGTATGTATGTATATGTATCCCATGTATAAGCAATTCTTTTAAACACACACTTGTATATAATATACTGTGTGTGTGGGACGTTTCAAACTAAGTCGCGCAAATAACTCGCTCATTTCGTCATTTCCAGCGGCTGTCAATAAATAAATAAATATCAGTTATATTTGTGCACACAAACATACACACACATATACACACACACATACCCGTGCACAGTTCCATATGTAAATATGTATTAAGCATCGCCTTGGAAATTTCAGTGTCGTAAAAATCCTCCAAAAACGCTTTTTCGTTTCAACTATTTTTGCTGCGTGGTGGGCGCCAAATCGTTTTTTTTTTCTCTTTTTTTTTTCAAGATTGAGCCAAATACGTCAAACTCATTTTGACCAAAAGCGAGTTTTTTCTCTCTCTTTTTGTTTTTAAATATTTGCGAGTGGGCGCCAAGAAACAAAAAGCAGCGCAGCAATTACACAGAGTCAAGAACGTGAATGCCATTTTTGGGGGATTTACCTACATAGCTAAAAGCTCTGATAGCTTTGAGCGCTGTGCGGCAGGATCGTTACATAACCTCAATATAATGTGAAGAAGAAGATGAAGAAATAACAGCAAACTAAATAGTTATTAAGCGCATGCGTTGCCTTACCGAAGACAACAACCAGAGCTTTTGGCATGCGTCGCCTAAAAGTAGGCAAGGGAAATTAGTGAAATCAAAAGTGCAGCCAACTGCAAGTACAGTGAAAGGTCGCTAACGTGAATAAATTTGAAACATATTTAATTAAAATTGTGTATATTAAAGCTTCTGCAGGCAATGTTTCTTAAAGTGTAGTTAAACGCAAGTACAGTGAAAGCACGTTAAAGCGAACTAATACTTAATGGACAAATATAACAATAAATATTTA